TACGAAAGTATCAATATAACATCAGTCGGTAAAATACTTCGAACATTTATACCATCAAATCTAAGTGGACTTAACAAATAATGAATAATTAATATTTCGGTGTGAAATGCAATTAAATTGGTTATGGACCGCGAAATAATGCTTAATTTCACATATAAATCTGGTATGAAAGGTTTTTAATGCTGCGTTTGTTGCTTTCAACTGTCGTTTGTTTCGTGGCGTTCTTGTACAAAATCCCACCCCTTTCATATTATCATCGTTGAAAGCAAAGAGTTCATACGCAATTCTCACTATGTTCACATAATTATATATTCTCTCAATTAAAAACAAAGTAGTTTTGTTTCCAAAATAACACGATCTATTGTTGAAGTTGCCAGAATACTTATAGATAAATAGTCATTGGATTTGTCATAGTGAGTCGTATATAGTGTTTCCAACATCACTCTTATTGGAACAAGAAGTATATTGACACTGTATTCATATATGAACCGTTCACATTTATTTGTAGTAAGATAACTAAAAACGAGTCAAGAGGCGTCACTCTATTATCTAACAGAACCCTAAACGAATTAACAGACATTAAAACGGTAAGTTTTCGAAATATAATCAATACCCCATTCTACAGTTCAATATTTCTCTAGTGCATGCTCGCCTCAGACTCGGGTTTAGTTATGTAACTGGTCATGTATAAGATTTATATCTGAATGCTTGATGAACACAACGGATCCAATTCTGTTTTAGTGCATGGAAATTACAGTAAAGTTAAGATCTACAATAACTGGTTGCGAACTAGTTACAGTTTTATAATTTCCCTGTATCAAGAAGAAAAGATTTGGCATAATGCTCAGGTCGGCAATTAATGGTTGGCAGTTTTATCTCTTTCTAGAGTGATAGCTTTCATTATGGAAGAATGATATTTGAATTTCACACTTTCTAAAGTGACGGTTATCTGAAGATTGTCAACATATTCATCTTTTGAATTCCGATTACCCTCACGTGTATCTTATCATAACATTTTACGCATAAGTCTTTATTGGTTCTCGCTATTGGTGAAATTGTGCCGTCTATGTACGACTATGATATTTTTAATATATCATAGTTCAAAAGACGTTCTCGTCAACTACGGACATACCCAATGTCGTATTCTCGTTATGAAAAACCTACCTCGCAGTCGTGAAATGGTATCAAGGACACTAAACTAATTAAATATTTTATCTGGGAGTGGTATAGCCGGAGTTGTACTGAGACATTTCAGAAATTAACATACTCTCGACTCACATTCACTTTCGACAACTTAGACAGTAGTTTCGTATGGTATGAAAGCAACTTCTAAATCTGTTTGAAAAATCGCAAAGAAAAGCTGTTTACATGTAACGCATTGCCATCTAATTTACATCATATCGTCAAACAAGACATTGTTTTCAGCTTTCATTAATCAATATCTTCTACGCAACATAACATCTACATGGGAGAAGTAAAATGATTACTTACTTATTCAGTTGTTAATCCGGCCCTCTCCAGAAACTTGACCAGTTTCTTAATCTACGATGAATGGCAACTTGAGCAGGCAGCTGGGCAAACACAGGAATGTGATGATTGTTGAAGCATACCAATCAGGGTATACTCTGCCGCTGAGGAGAACGTGTCATATAGCACCAATGACCTACCACGTGACATAGCGAGCAGTCACGTGATATGTTACGCGCGAGAAGTTAATTCCATGGTGTGCAATAGTCTTCATTCCAAACTGACGCCATCTTTCAGTGCTTTTATACAAACAACATTATATTTTATTCATTTAGTTTTTACTTACCTTTTTTAAATAAAATTCACTTTCTGTGAAGCAGACGTTAAATAAACGAAAGAAACAACTCATTTTAGTATCTGAAGTAATCCTTAACTTATTATCTTAAAACTCACCTCTAGTTTTTACATAATATTCAGTTAGATTATTTACCATATCTTGTTTTGTGTTTGTACCCGTCGGGCACATCCCATTTGTGAAGCCGATGTTGAATGATGATGTGACACTCCCACTCCAAATAAAGGGGATAATAGAATATAAATATTTCAGATAACACTTACTGTTACCTTTAATAAATCTTTTCCTTGTTGTTGTTTTTAATGAATAAAAATAGCTTTTTGGGGTGATTTTTTTGTATCTAAAGATAGTAACCCGGCATGATGAAAGGACAATGTATGAAACGATGAAACAGAAGCAACATATATAACGGAATACGGTTGGTCCTTATAGCCTTCTGTTCTATTTGTAGGAACAGACTAAGCAAGAATGCTTCGCTGTGAACTTAATTTTTTCAGTGAAACCCCTATCAAAATACTACCCTTGTTTCTCTTTTCAAAGATTCTAGTTTTCACCTGTTTTGTCTGGTTTAAATTTAACAGTTTTTATTCAGAAAGGCCATACGCCTTTCATACGACAATTCACTGCAATAATGATGAGAAAAACAGATTGAGTTATATCATTGTAGATACAATTACTGGTAGCTGCATATTATATTTTGGCACTATTTACCACGAAAAGACCAAATCATGAGCAAATTTAACTGAAATGTAAAGTGGCTACTCTTTATATTTATTTTCTTATCTTCCTTGTCTATAATCATATGACATTGCCTATGAAATTTGAATAAATAAACAAATATTTTGTTTTCCCATACCGACTGACGATTGTCGTAGAACAAAGATCGTTTCTACAATAGAGGGCCTCATTAGTAATATTTGAACTAATATATTATATTTTGTAAACGCTTTTGCTGGCTGTGACCTAGGCAAACCATGATGTTTTTAGAAGAATCTGCTTTGTTTAAATCACAATCACTGATCCAAACATGTGCGCCAATATGTTAATCCTTCAATAAGATTATCTTATCGTGAGAAGAAAGGTGCCGTTTATGAACTGTGCGTTGCGACTCAACGTTCAACTGAATTGTGAAAACATTTTAGTATTGGGCAGAGACGTCCACATTATACAAATTCTCACTTCCGTTTAAAAAATCCAAAATGCATATATACTTAGACGTCTGATGGCCAGTTACGTTTGAAACGCGTTGAAAAAAGGCTGTTCATTATCTTGGATCGACTTTTTGCAATGGAAGAGGCATCACTGCATGGAATTTGGTCAGAGTCAGGAGAAAGCTCAGGTAAGACCAAATATCTACATATTTATTTATGTAAAGACATCGGTTTATTTCTGTGTAAATCACAATATAGAGGAGATACATTATCGTTCGATATTATTATATTATGCAAAACATCACACATAAGATTATGAAATGTTTTCCCTTTCTGAGATATTGCTCATATCTGACAAATATACATACATTGTAAAGGAATCGTTTAGTGCCATATACATGAATATAGAAATGTAATGACTACTCTATTAACATAAGACGTTCGATATAGAGTTGTGAACGGACCTAACAATTTACATCTACCATCTTTTATTATCTCTGTCGCAGAAAGCACACTTCGTTGTGAACTGCAGTGTTATAGTGAGAACCTTTGACACAGAAGACAATTATTTCTAAAATATGTTCTAAAATAACGTATCGCTTTACCGTATGCATGTACATAGTATAACGTTAGTTCTTATCTATTAGATTTTTGATCCCCGTACATTGCTAAAACTGCACAATGCGACACCCGGGTATACGACTATTAAAAAACCTCCAATACAACAATGTTGATAAACAAAGATTATTTGTGATATCTACAAGCAGTGTCACAATAAAACTGAAGATTTTGATTTTGTATCGCCTATGAAAAGTAATTTATTCTGCAAACATGCAGTGCCACGGAAACTCTAACTATCTTTTATTAAGAAGCTGCATATGTGTTATTTCGTTTAAACAATTTGTAACTACAGTTTGAATCCCCTTTTTAACATGGACATATTATACACTTGATGAGATTGTTTGCGCGGCTCAGTTCTCAGTTCACATGTTTGACAAATGGCACTATAAAACGTTGGTAAAAATATCAAAAACAGCCTTTTTAATTTGGAATAGTATATGCCCAATGACGGTTTGGCAGAAACCACAAAAAAGTATAGATTGTCAATAACATGTCGCACATACCGGGCCCTAGTTCAAGATCAAAGATAATTGCCGCCTTGGAATGTCTAGCGGAATGATTGACACCTGTTATCACTGTAAATGTCTTGTCAAGGCTTGACTAACGATGACTCAACGCCAATTTAAAGAGGACATTACCACATGTTTATTGATAAACATTGAGAATAACCATAGACAGTATGGCGCCGCTTAATTTGACTGTCTGCCGCTTTCACACTGATTTGACAATATGCATAGGTAACACGCGTTACTGCCGCATGAGTTTGTTATTTTCTATGATGGGTAGTGATACGTGTGCGATTTATTTGCAATGAAACTTAGCCAATTCTCTATGACATCGGCATTTGTGCACGGGAACCACGGCGTGTATGTTTATTTCTCTCAAATCGTAAACGTAATTATTAATTACTACAGTCACCTACTACAATATTTTGGGTTATTTGTCATTTGGATATTTTCTTAATAACTTAAGACAAATAATTGATATATGAATTATTTATATTAATATGAATTCAGGCTCTTGAAATAGAGTTTATTAACATCATTCCTCTATTTGGCTGGCATTTTGAGTAGATTGTTCTGACTAAATCTAGTTCCACCATGCAAACTACATGTTTTCCTCTGAATTTATAATCAGTATCTCTTCAATTGTAATTATTCTACCTGCGTTTTATGTTATAAGAAAACCGAACAGTTATCATCATTCGATAGGACAAAGGCTTAACTATGCTTCTTACCCAAACTACCAAACTAAGTATTCAGATGTGTGACCATATCCCTACAAACACGCTAAAACCAAGCAATCCCATTTCACTTACATATTGTTTGAAACACATGCTAGTCAATCGCAAAATACTGATTCGCATTTTAGATTCAAGGTAAGCAATGCATTATATACTTACAAAATATTTATCATGTTCAATTTAAGGATCCGAATACCAGATCGACGAGGAGGACAAGAGTGACACATCGTCGGAATTTGCCACCAATTACCAGGTATTAATTGAAATAGTGAATAGATTATTCACTGATTATCCGGGGAAGTTAACAATTTTTGATTTAAACAATATTTCATTCGGAAATAATATAACGATACAGAATAGGGAAAAGGTGAACCGAAAACTAAATATCTATACTAAGTCTAACATCTTTCCTCTTACAATAATGTACGCAGTAACTATATTCTAATGTAAATGAATAACATTTTGTAAAAAGGAAATACGGTGAGACAGTTAAGTAATGTTGTATCATTTATTTCGGTTTCTTCATGTCCCAGGAAACTATACGCTGACCTCTTGTAATAGAGTAACATGAATGTTTTATTAGTAGACTGAATGTGTGTCTGTATGAACTGAATTGTATCATCATAGTGTTGACCCAAAAGGAATATCGCCAAGGTGAACGAGACAAAAATATTGAAAAAAATCATAGAGTAGGTTAGGAAAAAAAGTCATGGGAAAAAAATCATAAACAATAAAATCTGTATGCATATCAGTTTTCAAGTAACAACAAGTGATCTGAAGACTAAATAAATAAAGTCCTGTTCTGTTCTGAAGACGCCGTCATGATTAGTTGGCGCCAGCCTAGACTGTCCAATCAACGTGAATATACAAACCGTGATGTTACTTGACCAGTTGATGGCACCTGTCAAACTCAAAGTGCCCCTGGTCCTCCACCCACCATGTGTAATACTTTAGCGCACTTGAACGTTTTATGTGCAGCTATATCACTGTTAGGCTGAGTGATGAGAGAATAAATTTGGTCGTTTTTGTTAACGATCGTTTTTATGTTCAACCTGGTAACCTTATAAGTGACTAACTGTTTTATCATGATGAAATGAAACATAAAAAAATAATCAGAGGGAATGACGGTCGCATTTTTCGCATACATGTCATGCTCGCATTAATTTCATGATTTACTCAATATAGATTTGAGCAACGATCATGTTTGGGTAAGGGAGATAATTTTGTCTCCGCTTGCAATTGGTTTCAATCGGACGAGCAGCTCCGAGATCGCAGCTTGACTGTTCGGTACGGCCGAAACGCGGCATCCATGTTGTTCACGCTCCTTAGATCACGCGGCCTCATTGGCCTGACGAGACATAGCTCTACATGCCACTATCGCTTTGCTTCAGTTTCTGCCAGTCTATACCTTTCTTGAATCAATTAACGATTCATTGTCAAAGTGGTCTGATTTCAGTAATGTTAATGAAATCGGTGTTGTAATATATTATAAACTTGAACATTGTGCACTATCTGTTATACATCTGTCAGTTATATATGTAATATTCATATTGTCAGGGATTGTTTTACTAAATGTGTTAACACTTATATCACCCGTTTACATCATCTGCTGCTAGTGTCGAAAACAAGTGTTTGACGAATTCAAGTTTTACCGCATAACCATATTGTGGAAACATTTTAATTTTGTATTTGGTCTCATCGTAGAGTCCAGTCAAGCGCAAGAACAAAATCTTGAGACAAAGGGAAGAAAATGGAAAAAAGAATAGATTAGGAAGCGGTCCAGTTGCCTCATCTACACCTATGACAAGAGTTTACGACTTTTCAGGTATTTCTTACCGAACTTTACAATAATGGTTCCTAATTAGTGGCCAGGTTGAACTGTTGAAATGTGTCTGTGATTGCAGAAAGTGTCTCTCATAACCTGTAATGGGTTGTTCATACATAATTGTTTTAAATAGATTTTATATTGTAAATATGAGGTGAGACTGTAATAAAATATCTGTCTGTAATTACGACAAGTAGGACTGACCGTTAGCTTTAGCAGTCCACGTGAAGCAAAAAAAGTATAACGTTTGTGACTCGCCTGCAGTCGCAGATGAATTTCTTTACCTTTTTAAATGTCCAGGGCTCAATCATCAAAGAAAAACATGAACTGTAAATTATTGTGCATGGCAAAATGTATATAAACTTTGCAAATGTATGCAGTCTAAAAACTATTATGTTCGAGCAATAAAGCACGTTCAAGATAACTGATTCATATATTTTCATCAACCCAAGCCCATTTCTTAAATTGTACTTTTCTATGCAGATGGAGAAGATGACGGTCAGGACTTACTGAGAAGAGCCTCAAGCTGTAGTATGTATTTTCATCAAACACAATTCTATGAGCAGGTTCATGAATTTTCTTGTCACATTCGTGTAGTTTAACATGTAATTTGCTTTCATTTCAATCAGAGATTATCGTAGGTATGCTTAGACACGCAGTTATTTTCAACATCTAAATGGATATTCATAAAGATAAATGAAATCCGTATCCATCGGCGATCAATGGTATGTAGTGCATCGATGTGTCTGCAATTTGCTTAGAAAATAGCACTCATACGGCATCTGATAAACAAATTAATGTTTCAGAGAAACAAGCTGCAATTCAAGCTGAGACTCCTCGTATGAGACAAGGTATGTCACACAACGTATGAAATGATTTTTCGCATTGTATGAATAATCATACATTTATATGATTTTGGCACATCTTTAGCTGCCACAAGATACGCGGAATGACACAGGAGGAACATCTCCATTATTGATAAGGATTGCTTAATCGACATTAAAATGCCCTAGCTAATGATATTCAAACACTCATTCGTCAACACCAATTACATTCGACCAGCAACAAGATCATTTAATGTAACTATCCTTTTTATGTTTGCCGCTGAGGCTTGTCTTATATTCCAGCGGGATTTCAGATGACTGCAACCTAGTGCTTATAACACTTCAGATTGCAGTTGATGGCAAAATTAGCTTACTCTTTTTAATAAGAATATCAAGGAGGGGTAGTTCTGTTTGGCTCGAATATATTTTGAATTTGATATTTGAGTGCATATTTTGGAGAAGGTTGCACTTGAATTTTTCCCAGAACGTAAAACGGTCATCCAGGTGCTATGTAAGTATTTAATGTTTCTCTTAATTACAGGAAAGTCAATCCCCTATGCGGAATTTCTCCAACTCATGAGGGTCATGGAAGGACGACTTCACAGGGCCATTACAGATTTGAAGGGCGAAGTCGGCGACCTAAAAAAGGAAATTGGAAACTTAAACAGCGAGGTTAGAGACCTCAAGAGCAAACTTACTGAAAAGAATACACAGGTAAGTGATGATAGTCAACACTGTATTCAGTTTAAAATGCATTCTCGATATGATTTATCGTGTTTCAAGGGGAAAATTATAGTTAAATATATATTTACGTGTCATTACAAGGAAACATTGATTTTAAAAATTGCATCCAGCCAGTGTTGGATCATGCGATATAACAGTAAGTGAACTAGTAGGGCATACCATGATACGTTTCACCGTCAATTTTCACTATATTTGTATTTCCAGGTTACCGCCCTAACTGCAAAAGTTACACGTTTGGACAACAGGGTCCAGGAACCAACACAAACTTCGACCAAATCCAGCAAAGTCAGTACAAACATAAGGGTAAGATCCCAGCAAAACATCAAAACGGCGGATATGTGGAAAACCGTGTTTAGCGACCGAGATTATACAGCTCGTTAAACGAGGGCAATCAACATAAACTATGTGTTGTTATTGGGAAGAAAAACACCATAACGATTGTTTTCCCGAAGTACTCGGCACTAATAAGCGGATTAAGGTTCAATTCAGATACTTTCGGCTTGAAAGCATTCACTTTCTTTATCTAAAATAATATTTGGCATGGGGGAGATTGCACTAGTGTAATGATAAAACACCACTTTGTTTACAATCAAGTTGTAAACCAACGCATGGACCTGTTACTGTTGTGGTACGGTATATTGTAGACATGGAGCATAGAGTGTTTTTGTATGTTGGATGAGTGTGTTTGGATGAGAAAGTGTTTGTATGCGTGAACGTTGTGTTTGTGTCCAGAATGGTAAATGCGTATGAGTTTCGTATGTACCCCGGTATGCAAGTATGAAAGTAATTATGTCTTGAGTGTGTGTGTGTGTGAACGTTACGTAAATTTGTGCATGGAGGTATCTGAGTGAGGTAGGTATGTTGTGGTGTGTCCACAGAGGTGGATGTGGGATGCAACTGTATTTTATTGTAATTTTTTAATTTTTTTTAAATGGCCAGGTGTATCTATTTTAAATAGCTTGGGTTCAGCAATCGCATTAATTTCACGATTTACAGTAATCGATGCGTTTCTCATAAGACAATATCAAGTTTCGATAGATTTATCTCACAGATAAAATCACCAATATTGATTCTTTCTATTGTCTGTTAACTATATTTTATCAATTTTCTTCCTTAGGCAGCATTGAAGGCAGCGATCGACCATGCTGAAACTGAGAAAGGGTGGACTATGGAGCCTATGTTCACGTAAGTATCGTAGTGTGCAGTGATCATTTTGGAAAGGACGATATGTTCATTCTGTTACAATCATTTAAATAATTCGAAAATATCATTTTTACCATACTTGACAACCATTTGTTTGGAGTCGACTTACACCAGGAAAACGCTGTGGCATTGTAAGCACTATTTCTGTTGATATGTGTATCTTTGCGTCTGTGAGACCGAGTATGTAACCTATATAATTATTTATCTCTTTTTAAACCCCTATAGGTTTGTCGCTGATAAAAGTTAATCAAAACTATCAAAAGTCATATGTAATTTATCTTTGTTTCACTTATACTTTTATTACAGTACTTTTTATTGGGATGAATAGATAGGCTTGTTTTAAAATCTTATCGCATTTTTAGTGTTCATTTTACCTCCATAATCAATGAACGAGTCGCAAAGTTTTGTGTGCCTCAAGTTTTTCTGATAAAATTGGAGGTACATCCGAAAAAGACTGTTACGCAATTTTGGCAAAAATAATATTTTCTTAATACCACCACGATTACTTCTCTTCCATGAATCCCGTTTCAGTAGAAAATAGTCATAAATAAAGTCTTAGGAATCTTTGTAATGGGAAATTATATGAGACAGTCACATAAATATATATCTTTTTGTTATTTTTGTACCAGAAAACTGTACCACCAATATATCTCAAATCTAAACGAATATGTCTTAATTATGCAGTGAAATTATACCTAATAATCTTGCTTCTTTTAGTTACTTCAAATAAGTTAATAAGTTCATGCTGAAGTCGTTAAAGAAGATTATATGTAATAGTTATTGGCATATGTATATTTCTGGTTATATAATAAAAGTAAAACATTTGTTGCAGGTTGGAGTCCGCACAGAATCGACAAGTTGTCAAATACATCTGGGACTTTTCTAAGGTGATAGCTCCAAGCATGACAAAACAGGAATTTAAAGGTATTTTTATCATTTAAGTGTATTTCAAATGAATGTGTCCGTCATGTACATTTTTAAAACATTTCAATTCCATAAGTCAATGCAAAGGTACACATGCCTACTAGTGGAAAGATTTAAACCTTTTTTCAGTGTTTTGAAATGACTTATCTATGATGCGTAACATTCCCATTAGTCTGTCAGGAAAGAATTATATGCAGCATTCACAGGTAAACTAATGGTTAAAGACTTGCTGTACACTATTTGAAGATATGGAAAAAAGACCGGTATGTTGCAGTTCACATCCAAATAAGGAAAGAAACATTATGTTCCAGATGGTATGACCAGGATCATGTTAACGAAGAAAGAGAAGCTATCCCGAACACGTAACGGAAAAGAGAAAGAACACACGGACGCGTCCAGAAAGAATTCAAGGAAACTGACGGTAAGTTGAAAGATTTGTGTTGCTGGAGGGATTAAATACCCCCTTAGGATATAAAATTTGGATTATTGAAGATGAATTTTGAGTGAAGCTTAACTTGGGCAAAGTAAGGCCAATTGTTGGAAGTGTTTGAGGTGTGACTTTATATAGGCCTGTTGGCCATGGCCGCCGAGTTAAAAAAAAGAGAAATTTAGAATGAGGTGAGTGGCGCCTTATTAATATATAATTAAAAGGTGCCCAGTGGAGTAAGGTTATAGGGAGAGGTGGAATTTGGAATACATATGTTTTTTGCAGAATTAACAGCAGGATAGATTAGAATAGAGAATTTTATTAGGACAACCGGGGTGTATAAAAATTGGTAAATTGCCTGCTTTTAATATTTACCTATTTACCCTTATATAGTTTACACCCCGGGTAATTTTCTGTTGTTTATATTATGAGTGGATATATATACATAGTGCCCCAGGTAATTTTACAAGTATACACTACAATTCTAAGACGGAAAGGCCGTCATGTGTTGTCTAGACTGTCCAATCAACGTGAGTTAACAAACCGTGATCACTTGACTAGCATTGATTAGCTTGTCTATAATGCCCACCTTTGTAACATGTCAATATATTGCTTTGTCATTATATCATTGTAATTAGTGCTGAGAAAATGTTGTTATGAACAGTGGCACGACCATCACCCGACACCTGTATATATTCAATGTGTTACGTGACAGACTATTTCTATTATCCCCCAGTCTCTGTCTTGTTAGTTAACGCCAGAGTCGACACACGCGTAGCTCAGCTATTTTAGTCAGTCTTCTAATGACTGGGACAACACACACGACTTGTGTAACTTGTTTATAATTTCAATCACTGTTCAGAAAACATTTGTGGAGGTGTAATAAACCACAGGCGCGAAAGAGATTTTTTTTTAACCTTTAATATGAAAGTATATATTTTACAAGAGCTTTTTGCCAGTCTAGCTACCACTCGCTCGTCTTCTACATAAGAGTAAAAGTGGGGCACATCTCTGCCGGTATTCTTCCATGTATTCGCATAACAGCTTCGAAATAATATTTTGGGCGTCCATTGATGCACATATGCATCGGAGAGTCAACTAGGACATTGGCAAATGAATTCATGTAAATGCAATATCATCATACAACGTGTTTAGAAAATAATAATAAGAAGAAGATTCCAAGCGATGCTCCCGAGTGCTTTGCCGGTACTGACGTCAGTGGTTAGGGCTTGTGGTTTTGCACATTAGTAGATAATAGAATCCAGTCAATATATATAATATCGTTTTTTAAGTCTTTCACAGTATTTTAACCTGTGAAATAAACTCATCATAATACTTATTAAGAGGTGTGTCGCTAATCACCTCGGGATATCTTTGATATTCCATGTATAACTTTGCTCTGACTTATTGAATTTCCTATTTACCTGGCTTGAATCAATTCATATACAGAAGAGTAAAACGACTGAACCTGCATACATTTTAAGCGGTCATTGATCAAAGGATATTATGAGGCGTACTACTTTTTGTTTGTCAACATCACGCCTCGAAACATTTTATAAAGTAAACCGTGACTGTTCTGTTGTTAAAATTAGGTATTACTGAAACGGATTTTTGAGCAGTTGTCAATATATGAAATAATAGGTCATGTGTATCCATTAATGCCCATCCGACGGATATGTTTCCATTACCAAGCCTAGTAAGGCAAGGTTGCCTGTTGTCCTCAATACTATTTTGTGTTGAGCAATACGATTTAGCAACAAAATTTAAAAAATCATTGGCTTGCTATTATATGCGTATGAATTTCTCTTTTAACAGCAGGGTTTTGCCCGGTCTCAGTAATATTGAATTGTATAAACGTTGTTAGGTAAGGTTTAAATCTTACCATTTCTTTGTAGTTATTATTGTCGTTGCAAGAAATTAATAGTTTCTTTTAAATGTTACTTGACGAATTTACATTGCACCCTCAATGTAAATGTGTTGTCAATATATTCAAATAGTTGAAATCATTTCCTAAATAACTAATGTTACACAAATAACACTTTCCGCCATAAAAAGGTACATAACGCCATCTTTCTACCTTTATAGAAACCCTGAGCGTCACCCAATGACCCTAATAAATCTGTCACCCGCGGCCGCATGTATATGCACATAGAAAATTGGTTAGAGGTAGATATGCCACAAATACAATTACAGAAACTCTCAGAATATGATAAATTAGGAAGCATTTGTTTTTAATGATTTAAAGAATGGTTTATCTCAAATAAAGAAGGCCAACAGACAATGCCTATATGAAGTTCCCTCCAGACAAATTCCTTCCACATAATTTACTATTGCATCTCAGAGGACTGTACCTTGGGTACTGAAACAGATAATGAACATTACCCTGATAAAAGTAACCACAACTAGAAGATAAATTATGAGGAGCAAATCTATCAAATTTGTAGCCATTTATTTCACTACGTTCTTATCTAAATGTACTATGTACTATCCAATTCTTTCCGTTACCAAATATTCTATATTGATGAGTTACATTACTATCGATCCGGACTTTCGTTGTCAAACATGTTAAATCGACACAAATTAGCCTCGAGCAGATCACCACTCAGCTGCCCAGCCATTCCACAGAGATTTTTCTTAAATTGTTCTGATAAACAAAACCAGAATATCGGAATCGTAACTGACATATCTCCCTTACTTGCGATATGTTCCAATGTTGTTAGAAATGTCGTGTCATTTTAAAACATATAAATCCAATCATACCTTCAGATCATTGTTGTAACATGTCTTTTGGTAGTATATTTATCTATACTACGAAATGTTTCATGTTTCATACTCTGTGGGGAGTGACTAATATTCACACCAAGTACCAGATAGATAGTTAGGAATGTAACGATGCGTATAACTATAGTTGCTGCAATTGCTTCTCTGAAATGAGAATAAAATGTTTCATGTTTGTTATTCCTGCATTAAAACGTCTTAAATAACTCCTGCTTGTACGCAGTGAGTTTTACTTTAGGAGTTCAACTGCAAATAATATGTACTATGAGTTGTAAGTTAATGTTACTGAAACTTGAAGATTATCTGTAGACTTCTTTTTATAGATTTAGATATATATTTCTTCCCATTTACAGAATTTCGATTTATAGTGACTCTAAACACAACATGCTCAGGACAAACTATTCTACTGAAGTAATGGGCACATTTCTGTTTTGTCTTCGTTTTATTTCGTGTTTAAGAAAGGTGGGTGTTATAAAGTGAACGGTTTTGCTTTCAGAAAAGCAGAAACCGTGTAACTGGCATTGAAAAATCCGAACTACCTCATCACACAAGGACCAAGTACATTCGAGTAATGAAAAAAACGCAGCTCATGTCGTCAGAAGAGAGTTCGGTCGACGAGGATGGCAACCGGGTCTTCAATGTGAGAAGGAGGGACTGGGAGAGTCATGAAATGAGGGCCGCTAAAAAAGTGGCCGACGAGACATTTAGTAAAACAACCAAGACAGCAGCGTCCATCGTACCACGGACGAGACGAATTACAGGTGTCTCGTCATTTGCACCACCTCCTGCCTGGTTGCAGAAAGAAGACAGCTGGGTCAGCTCAGCACTGACATACCATGGAGTAGTTTAGAATCATCATCATTCATATCCTCATCAGAACATGCTTACTTACTTACTAAAAGGGGTGTTTTTATAGGTTAGGAATTTTAGGGTTTATTGGCAGCTTGTTTTTTGTCCTTTTTTTTAAATGCGGCCAAGTAGGCCTGGTTTGATTAGATATATGCTTAGTGCTTCAAAGGTTTAAAGTCATGTAGGGGGTTCAGTACAGTCATGTGATTGTTGCAATTTAGTGAGGATTGGAGTGTTGTTTGGTCTGTGTTGCTGGTAATGTGTTCCATAAAGTATTGAATAGGGCGCTCTAAATGTAAATGTCACACGGGAATAATACGTGTTCGGGCGTTTCTTTTTAAGTTGCAGTGGGGGTATTTACCGGTTTGGTGGTTTTTTTAATTAGGTGTAGGTGAGAGCTTAACTTAGTGTGGCCTGTTTGTAGTTTGGTTATTACTCTGTCAATGTTTTTGGGTTTTATGATGGATATGTTTTTTTGAGTGGCGTTTTAGTTTGCAATCATATTTCTGATTGTTATTTTGCCGCTATTTTCCTTTGAGATACTTTTAATTTCTTTTTTTTTATTTTGGTAGGTTGATGCTTGGGATGCTTACTTCTTCTAATTTTAGTGCTGATTTGGCTGCTTTGTCTACATGTTCGTTGCCAAACACCCCAACGTGGGCAGGGATCCAAACTATTTCTATGTCTTTACCTAGTTTACGTAGATTGTTGGCGCTTTTATCTGTTGTAATAGTTTGGGGCGTTTTTTGTGGTTTTGTTTTTATGGCCTGGAGCCCACTTAATGAGCCGGGATGCGCATGAATCACGGTCGTCAAAACGAATATATTTACCAATTATATGAAGTCAATTAGCCAGTTCAAGAGACAATACCCTGGTGTAATTACGTCGCATGCCTCTGGTTCACGGTTCGTCTGATCTCCCGTCATAAAACCACGATGTTTATTTACCTGGAGCCCCAGACAGCGCTGACTTCCCTGTGTGCAAGTACGTACATGGCAATAAATGGTTTGACAGTTGTTTGACGGAATCCCCCCCCCCCCTCCTTCTACCTTTTATGGCATATTTCAAAATTCCAAACTTGACCTGTTTTGTATATATGTATATATTATTATGTTAATATGGACAATGGTAAAATTCATAATCACAGATCAAGGGCTGTTCACAAATTATGTAAATCTGCTTCGTGATGAATGAAGCATGGTAATAAATGTATGCATCTGAGTCATTTGTTCTGTATTCTTTGATGAGAATGAGTTTTCTTATATTAATGATGATTACTCTCACAGAATATTTGATAAGAGGATAGGACTTTCAGTTGAGAATAGTTATGCAAAAGTATAGGCGGTCTGTGCACATGTGGTAAAACTGATATATCATTGACATGATAATCGGGACTTGGAAATCATAGTCTCTCATTATATGACATAAATACACGTCTATAAGGACGCCCGACTTGTTCACGAAGCGTAATTTCAGGTTATCTGAAATCTGTCGGTTTGGAATTATTATTTTTTGTTTGTAATAAGGATAACAAAAACATGTTTTGTATTCTATTGAAGCATTCATAAATAATTCAGTGTTCGTTTCCCGCGGTTAAAGAGTTTAAACTGATTGCAAACTGATTTTAAAATATATGGTTCTGTCTGTAGTACGTCCTGATGTCATAATATTATGTCGTAAACATGTTAAATAAAACAATTATTGATAACTTCCTGAATTCCAATTGTTCAATGAACAGAATTATTCACAGCTCTGGCCTGAGACAACAATCAATTAGATGTTACTAAAGATTGTCCATTCTATGATCTTAGGCACATGTCGGCGCACTTACATGTGAGCCGTCTAGACGACCGTCTGTTTTGTCATTAAATGGCAGCTGCCATCCAGCCGAATACTTAATCTTGAGACCTATTAGGGTCTTGTCGAGTCAAGTGCGGGTCTCTCTCCCACCTTAGGGACTGAGACTGTAAAAGCCCCTCGCTACACAGACAAGCTAAGTAGTGAATGTTTGAGATAAATATATTATTATATAGTTTAAACTCAATAAATAACTGTTGTTATTGTCCAAATTACTGATAAAACATATTTTAACTTTTTCCTTCTAACCATATTTCCAAACCATTCCAAACCATTCCAAGCCATTCCAAACATTTCCAATTTTGGAAATATGCTTGGAAATGTTGCCATTCCAATTTTGGATTTTTTGGAAAGATCGATCTTTCCAAGCTTTGGAAATGTTGGAATGAGCGATCTTTCCAAAGAAATCCAACGATCATTCCAAATTGGAATGGACGCTATTTGGTCTTGTGACCCATCCATGGATCACCCGTCCACCACTCATCACCAGTCCTCGTTTCAGATAAGCTGGTCGTCCGACCGGACCATCAAACTGTGGTTGTGGGATCCACTGCTATCTACAACTGCAAGTTCAACCCTGAGACAAATGAAACAATGTCAATGACCTGGTCCTTTACGAACCTGAGTGGAAATGTTCAACACATCTACACTAACGACGTCCAACCCCCGGAGCTCACCTTCCACGTGAAGTCAGTGGAGGCCACGGACGAAGGATCATACACGTGCGAGGCAAAATTCGGAAGCCACTCCTGGTCCGCTTCAGGAAACCTATCTGCAATTGGTAATTCGCGTCTATTATCATGTTGAATGGTCTAGTATGGTCTCAGACAAGGTTCGATTCTCCACATGTCCAATGTGTGAAGCCCATTTCTGGTGTCCCTCTGCGTGATATTGCTGTAATATTGCTAAAAGCGGCGTACAACCAACTCACTCACTCACTCGATCTATGCCTCTGCCAGTCGCTATGCAATGTATACCACAGTTACACCAGGATCCGCTGATCATTTGGGGAGCCCGAGACTTGCTATCTTGTAATCATTGGTTTGATAGCAAATAGCAGTTTCCAAACTAGCAGTTGCGACTCTTACATTGCGTCAGGATCTGCTAAACTCGGGTTGGAATCCACGAATTCGTCCCTTTTTTGCAGGATTCTTGAAGGGGTAAACCTGTGTGGTCGGTATCACTTTCGGCTGCATCCCTAATTTAACATTCACGCCATATCATTGAAATGCTGCTCAATGCGGCGTTAAACTCATTCGCATTCTATAATTTAGTAGTAGTACTGCAGATAATTTTCTGAATGAAATGGGCCAAACATATCCCTTATAACCCTTATCCCAATGTCATAACATCATATATGATGGTTCAAAAAATTTTGATTAGAAAAAGTATTTGTGCAAATAATACTGGAAAAAGTTTGCCTCTGGTTTAAAAAAAATAAAAAATTGTTTACTGGACATGCTTGGGACAAAGTGTGGATGGATGGACGGGTGGATGGATGATACTGGGTGGACGAATGGATGCTGCATGGACGGATGGATGGATGGATGGACGGATGGATGGAAGGATGTATGTATGGATGATACTGGATGGATAGATGGATGGATGGATGGACGCGTGGATGAACGGATGTATAGATGGATGGATAATGCTGGATGGGTGATGGATGCATCGATGGATAGATCGATAGTGGTGGATGTGGCATGGATGATAGATGGATGGGTGATGGAGTGAGTGAGTATTGTTTACGCCGCTTATAGCAATATTCCAGCAATATCACCACAGGGACATTGACCTAAAACATGTGTTGTGCTTCCCGAAAGTTTTTTTGGCACCTCCTTTCAGAGAACCTGTCTTGAAGAAAAGACAGAATAAAATTCTGTTACGGAAATCCCCCCTCTCCCCCCCCCCCCCCCCCCCCCCCCCCCCCAGCCTCTCTTCATGTAATTAAGAGTCGATGTCTTCAATTACCATTGTACTTATCTTTCCAGCTGGAAATCTGGAGATCATTCAAGGCCCTTTGTCACAAACTGTACAAGCAGGACGGAGAGTGACATTTAGCTGCACCGTCAGCGGTAACCCAACGCCCTCCATCATATGGCAGTTTGTGCACGGGACGTCCCACAGCAACATCACCGACGGCGTTACGACGACTCCGACAGGCAGTCAGATGGTCATAGATGCCGTAGCTAAAGGGGATGAAGGCGTTTACAAGTGCCTCTCAAGTAACTTAGTGGGTTCCAAGGAATCACTGGCTGTGCTGACGGTGGAGGGTGAGCTACAGTGATTTTGTTTGTTTGTTTGTTTGTTTGTTTGTTTGTTGTTTAACGCCGCACTCTGCAATATTCAAGCTATATGACGGCGGTATGGACATAATCGAGTCTGGACCAGACAATCCAGTGGTTGATGTCATGAGCATCGATCAACGCAATAGGGATACGATGACAGCCCTGACCACTCGCCTCTTACGACAAGCACAGTCGCCTCTTACAAAAAGAATGGGTTGCTGAAGACCTTTTCTAACCCGGATCAGCACAGGTCGAGCTTCAGTTAAGTTATATTTTTATGAGCGTGCGCACCTGTACCTCTTTGTGATTAGTTAGTGATGATCTGTTGTTTAACGCTACACTGAGCAATATTCTAGGTATATGACGACGGTCCGTAGTTTGTACCTTGCTAGCATGGTAAAGAAACGATATCATATTTCATATCATATTTTTTAAAGGAAATAGCTCCTACAGATTACGATAGAACATATAATATTCATAAAGCTCAGAAATGAAGGTCCTGCGAGTACAAACACTTACACGCTCTCATTTCCAAACTTTCCATACACTACAATTTCCAAATTTCCAAAATACTGGAACGAGCTCTTAAAAGCTTAAAAAGCTTAAAAATGACTTCGTTTCTTCAAGCGTATGTAAACAAATCTGTTGCAGATATACCGACTATAGTGCAGGCCCCTCGGGATCAGCAGGTCAAGCTCCACGACGCGGTGGCGCTGAGATGTGTTGTTACGGGAACACCTAAACCAAGAGTTCAGTGGACGTTTTCCTCGGTGAGAAGGACCGCCTCCGTGGTCTAGTGGTAGAGCGTCCGCCCGCAGAGCGGAAGGTCCGGGGTTCGATCCCCGGCCGCGTCATACCAAAAGACGTTAAAATATGGTACTTGTTGTTACCCTTGCTGGTGCTCGGCATTAAGGGGCTATAACAAGGACTGGTCGGCTCGGAGTCAATGTACTGTGTCTGAGTGGGGTATTCATGTTAAACTGCGGCATGGTATCTCAGTGAGCTAGCACTATAAATCGGCATCAGTCCGGACTAGTACAAGCAGCCACACACATACACACGTGCATGCACGTCGCTATAAAAGTGCAATAATCTTGGACGCGACGTTAAACCCAATTTCGCCTCACCTCACCAAGATATTTTTAATTTGTTTGTTGTTTGTTCGCTGCTTACTACCACACTAAACAAAAATCCAATAAAAATGATGACGATCTGTAATTAATCAAGTCTGGACCAGCTAGTCCAGTGATTAATATCATGAACATCGATTAATGCAATTGAGATCCGATGGCATGCTTCAACCGAGCCTGACAACGCGATCTATTCAGTCGCCTTTTACGACCAGCATAGGATGCTGGGGACCCATATTATCACCTGGATTCCCCACGTCTCTCCCAAGAATCAACAATTCGGACCCTTATCGACGATGCACGTGATCCATTTAGTCGCCTAGTACGACATGCATCGGTTCCTGGGGCCAAATCTGACCAACTCGTGACCAACTCGTGTTATTCCGGGACAAGCCGAATATCAGTTACGGAAAGGGGCGAGTGGTGACGAATGCCATTCGTGACAAACTCGTGTTAGTCCGGGACAAGCCGAATAGCAGTTACGGAAAGGGGCGAGTGGTGACGAATGCCATTAGAATACCCCTAGACTTTTAGGACGTCATCCCAACGTGGGGCCCTGGAAGCAGGCCGTGACATGGATTGATGTTTTGGTTAGAAATACCGAAAAACACAGCCTTGCGGCCGTATGTATTCTGGAGTGGAGGAACATGGTATATGGAGGTATTGACGTTAGTGGATTGGATTGGCGTGACATTGTGATGTGAGGTACAAAACGTTAAAATACTTTGTTTGTTTCCAGCCAACAGGCTCCACCTTTATTCCCCCTGGGACAGTAATAAATATCGATGACTCCATTGATATTCCTCAAATGACAAACAGCCACGTGGGGACATGGACATGTCTGGCAACCAACTTGCTGGGGCAAGTTGCCGCTTCTGCTGCCCTGAGTCTTGGTAAGACTCTCTCTGTGTGTGTCTCTGTGTGTGTGTGTCTCTCTCTGTGTGTGTGTGTGTGTGTGTGTGTGTGTGTGTGTGTGTGTGTGTGTGTGTGTGTGTGTGTGTGTGTGTGTGTGTGTGTGTGTGTGTGTGTGTGTGTGTGTCTGTCTGTCTGCTTGTGGGGGCACGGGTGGCCCAGTCGTCTAAGGCGCCACGATTCGCTGAGCAGAGTTGCGTCCCTTGGGCACGCCAGAAACCTATGATTGTGGGTTCCAATCCCGGTTCGCCCTGATTATGTTTCTAGGTTTGTCAGCACCATACCCGTGCTCGTGGGTTTCACCGAAGTGGTTAACGTCTTAGACCTGCATCACTTCGGGCTTTCCTCCCACATTAAGCCGTGATATAACTGGAATAATGTTAAAAGCGGCGTTAAACCCAACTCACTCACTCAATGTCTGCCTGTGCGTCTGTGTCTGCTCGCCTGTGTAGGGTAGGTTTCACATGTTGTGTGAACAGACAAGTATGGGGATCATTGAGTAACTGTGCAGCAGTTGTAATGTTTGCCAGCGTACTACTTTCGTCGCTCATGCTGTCAAATTCTGGTTCGTCGGTTTGAGCTCGGAAATGATGAGATTTGAGGTTGCCCTAATACTGAAGGATTGTGTGTGTGTGTCAGTGAGTGTCTCTGTGTGTGTCTATCTATGTGTATGTGTGTTTTTGAATGACCTTCCTGTGTGATTTGTCGATCTCAAAAGGATTATCGTTTCCAAGGTTCGTTTGCTCGTTTCGTTTGTTCGTTGTGTGTTGGTGTGTGTTAGTGTGGTGTTTTATGTCGCATCCAGCCATATTCCAACTATATGACGGCGGCCTGTAAACAATTGAGTCTGGACTGGTCTAAAGACCGTATAACGACAAAATACTTCCAAGTGTGGTATATTTTCGCTATGTGCACGTGGTCCCTCAGGTGTCAGCAATATGGCGGCTGTATCTCGATCTTGTTGTCCACCAGTCAGCACCAAAACAGTGACTGAAAGCTAGAGCAACGTTCCCTGCGTCGGGGAACAAAGGCACACATTCCGCCACAGAATCTGACCATTTTAGTCTGTTCTCAAGAAAGTCATGTACGGAGAACACCCAGAAGGGTACTTCCTGTAGGGTCATGTTTTTGGCACGTACAGAATGGGTATATTGTCTAACGTACAAGCCTGTGGTGCCTGTCAATTGATCAGAACAGTGTTTTGTGGTTATATTAGTTTGTTTGTTTGTTGTTTAACGCCCCACTAAGCAATATTCCGGCTATATGACGGCGGTCTGTAAATAATCGAGTCGGAACCAGACAATCCAGTGATTGACATCATGGGCCTCGATCTACGCAATTGGTATCGATGACATGCATCAACCATGTCAGCGTGCCTGACCACCCAATCCCGTTAGTCGCCTTTTACGAAAAGCATAGTCGCCTTTTACGACAAGCATAGTCGCTTTTAGGACAAGCATGGGTTGCTGAAAACCTATTCTACCCCGGATCTTCACGGGTCGTCTATATTAGTGATAGCCTTGGATAACGTCTACGATATGTTAGTATAAGTCTATTTAGTATAGGTCTGTATAGGTACTGAAGCATTTCTTCTACACATAAGTGTGCTCTTGTTATTATGAAATCGTTGTAGCTTTAACTCTGTCGTAGTGATTGCTTCTGGCATTGATGTTTTGGTTGCACTAATACCCCGTATCCGTTTCTTGCAGTCTGAACGACCTCCTAGGCTGAGATCAAACAACGACGCCAGTACTGTAATTTATTAAATACTTTTCAAACTGTTTTGGACATTTTCTCAGTTCTGCAACAGTCCCTTTTCACATACCGTATAGGGGCGGTCGGGTAGCCAAGTGGTTATAGCGTTCGCTCGTCACGCCGAAGAACCGGGTTCGATTCCCGACATTGGGTACAAAGTGTGAAGCTCATTTCTGGTGTCCCCCGCCGTGAGATTGCTGGAATATTGCTGAAAGCGTCATAAAACTATTTAAGTTCGATCGCTTTCAAATCGCGATTATCTGTTTTTTTGAGCTTCAGAAGTGAAGTTGTGACATCAGTCTTCCGAAATTGGCCAAACGAAAAGACCAGAAACAATACTTAAGTTCGTTCAGCTTGTCAGCTTGCGGGATGTATCGTGTTGCATTCTATCTCTGATGGGCGGAGAATCCACGGGAGGCAACTCGTGTAGGAATAAAGCCGACTGGATTATTTTGATCGTATGTGCACCAATATCCTCCTCTGAGAACGTTTAAATATTTCAGAGAAATGTTGTCTGGGTGATTTTGGGAGGGTACCTTCTGTAACACATGTTCGTTTTGGTGTTTTTTTAATCTTTGTAATTCCATTATATTGCTTGAATACTTTCGTTGTCGTGCTCATGCACAACTCACTATCTCGCGCCTTGGCAGAATAACAAATAGATTTATTGATGTATACAGTTTAAAATGAAAACATACTGAAATTGCAAATGGAATTCACATACAAAGAGTTGCACGGATAATACTATTAGTTGTAGCAGGATCACGAGGGGTGAATGGGGAGTTGTGCGTTAAGTTTTATACCACGAGCCGGAGGCGATCCTGCTACAACAAATTTATCGACCTGACATATTATAATATGACATTGTAAAGGAATTCAAACAAATTCAAAATTGATAGAACAGCTGTCCGAGTGAGTTTTGATTAACTTGTGCTATGACTTCCATTGACTCGGGAAAAGTGTGCGTTTTTTTGCATAAGGGATTTATTCTGCCTCTCTGATATCTGCGTGCAGCCCTTATTGCGCGTGGCGAGGTATAAGAGATTTATTCCCCCGCTGAGAAATATATTACCCTCCAAGGCGGTTACACAGTATTTTTTATCAAGATCACGTGGACCAATCATTGAGGTATGATAAATGTACATGTAGTTCCTTGTCTGTCTGTAAACAGGGAAACAGTGAGTCCCTGACAAGGAGGTAGAATGAGTCTACCTAGAAAATAATGGACTCCTCCAAACATAAAAAAGTGTAACAAAAAAGTATGATACGAGCAAACACATTAAAATTTTATTAATAAATTAGCAAGTACATGAAATTAACAATAAAATCACTTTAACGAAACAGGGAAAATGTGCAACATAGGTTAAATTCCATTCCCTGTTTAATATCTTACACCTTGTGTTTGACAACTATACGACTACCATTCCGTCTGAAATAAAAGTGCCTTATCATATCATATTTTATTAAATGCTTACCTTTGAGTGAATTGAAATGTTAGGGTTGATTACTATGACGTTATGAAACTCCTCGGACAAAACAGACTGGATCCTTGTGTATTTAATTATATTCCGCATCATCGAAGTCCCAGTACTTATAGAGGAAATAGTGATGACAGTGAAGATAATTAATGATCAGATCATATACATGTAATATTTAAGAAAAAATAAACGTAACATAAATTTGTTGATGTAATAAAATCACTCTAGTATGTCCACATTCAATACGGTAACATTTAAAAATAAGATTACAAAGTAATTAGGAAATCTAATAAAAGTGGTAAAAATTTATTCACACCTAATTATATCACCCCACCCGATCCTGTGCATCGCTGTCGTGTTATATGCGTGTTCAGATCCCGAGACCGTGAATTGTTAGGAATAAAACTGACAAAACAAACTTCCATAATATGACGAAATCCATTCATACAGTCCATTATGCGATTCTGACTAGAACATAAGCACGCCTTATTGTAATGATATCATGTGTTTGTGAAAAGGCAAGCATATCCTGCCCTAAAGGCTACACCCATCACAAACACATGGAAAGGCAAGTCAATTGTTTGAAGAAGAAAATACTTTAAAACAAATCACGGAGAAGAGAGAAACTGTATTTAATTAATGTGTCACGTACATATTAAATTCATATTGTACCGGTAAAAACTGTGAAGTGAGTTAGTGAGTTAAAATTTTAAGTCACATCGGCAATATTTCAGCCATATCATGACTATCAAGGGTTAAACATGTAGATACATTGGGACTTACATAAAAACCTGCCAACGAGGGACAGTAAACTAACTAGACTTATCACACAAAAATATTTAAAAGTAGTATGTAATCATAAAATGAATAGCACTTTACATAACATTACATTATAAAATCGGGCTATAGATCGCCAGCAACTGAAGGTAGATCACAATAGTAGGGACCACGGGGACTTCCAGGCCTTTAGCTCTCTGCATGGACCCAAGCCAGATTTACGTCATCCATTCAGGTGTTGGCGATTATTGCCAAATTTAGCCAAATTAAAAGAACACATATTCTACGATAAAAACTGTAGTTGGAATAACATACTTTGAATGATATGGACTTACGATACCCTCTCAGGGGGACAACAACTGTGGAGCCCATCTTTAAGAGGCTTATATGTGACACAACAACAAATTAAATTGCACAGATATACTTTTCAGGCGTATAAACATACCTGGTGAATATAATGTTTTCAATATATCTGTTTACACATAAAACAATTCAAATATACAATAACATAGTAGAATAAGTACTTATAACAAGTAAGTAAAAGTCATATTTACGTGTTAACATACGTGATTTAATAGTACATAAATATAGCTTGTTGCATAATCCTTGTTCTGGTTGTTGTTTTCATATTATGAAATAACTCTTTTCAATTATGTTTCTCCAGCAATTAACGAGTAAACCCTCATAATGGTGACAACTAGCATCATAAACCATCAAAACATTAGCACAAAATGCCATATATGAAGATATTCATACAACAAGGATTATCTACAGTTTGGTGACAAGAACATTGATCGTGAAAGAGAAATTCTGACCACAGACTCTTATCAGGTGACATCAACATTTGACTTGGCCTATTGTGACATGACATTAATGTACATATACTTCACACAATAGTTCAACTCTGGTGGCTACTCAAAACAAATTATTGAAAATTGAAGTATTAATATTATAAAATATGATAAAACAGTAAATGGTTGAGTTTGGTGACGGTGACAAACATCTATAGTGACTGACAGCGACAGTGGTTAAATAATTTTTCAAGGAACAATTAGATTTATCGACAACATCTACAGCATAGAGGCTGAACAACATATATCTTCCTATATCCACCCTTACTCTGTTTCTTAACTAATGTTATAGCTAAAGGTAAGGTGGAAGTTCAAAATTAGTTACAACATGAGGGAAACATCTATGTGCACGACGTCTCGGGGAGATAGCTATATGCAACATCATTTTTTGTTATTTAACGCCGCACTCAGCAATATTCCAGCTATATGACGGCGGTCTGTAAATAATCGAGTCTGGACCAGACAATCCAGTGTTTGATATCATGAGCATCATCGCAATTGGGATACGATGACATGCATCAACCACGTCAGCGAGCATGACCACCCGATTCCGTTAGTCGCCTCTTACGACAAGCATAGACGCCTTTTATGGTAGGCATGGGTTGTTGAAGACCTATTCTACCCTGGACTCTTCACGGGTCGGAATATTGTTGACTATGTTGTACATCTAACATTCCCATATTCCCAAAATGTGATTATCTGTGGACAGTCAAAAGTGGAAATAGAGGACCACATGTAGGCCTGTGATTCCTCAGCTTCATGGTTATCGGTATATGCTTGGTTGGTTAGTTTGTTGTTTAACGCCTTACTCAGCGATATTCCAGCTATATGATGGCGGTCTGTAAAAATAATTGAGTCTGGACCAGACAATCCAGTGATTGACATCATGAGCATCGATCGACCCACATGGGACCGATGACATGCATCAACCAAGTCAGCGAGCCTGACCACGCGATCCCGTTAGTCGCCTCTTACGAAAACATAGTCGCCTTTTACAACAAGCATAGTCGCCTTTTACGAAAAGCATATGCACATTCTTCTAATGACATTAAACCTTCATTTATTAACTCATTTATACATATTTGTACTTATTGAATATGTCAATGTCATATCGCTGTCGTATAAACCTAAATGCAGTTCACATAATTAATAATAACCATTGCAATAAATATAACATATCCGGAGTTAGTTAACTTGCATTATCGATGGTTCATAATGGTTCAGGGAACTCGAATTACACGCTGAACCTGTCGCTACTGTTTCTGTCTTTGCGACAAATGACGACGCTCCACATCATAGGTTGCCAAAATATGAATTCGCCTTCTTTCCTCAGGTAAACAGTATTCGTGTTAATATACCTTTGTCCCCCGCCACAAAGTGTGTGTGTGTGTGTGTGTGTGTGTGTGTGGGGGGGGGGTTGGGGGGGGGGTTGGGGGGGGGGGGGGGGGGGGGGGGGGTGGCGATACAGGAACGGAGTTCGTCCGTCCGTCAGTTAAAACTTATTTAAGTCAGACGAATGAAACTCTACAAGTGATATCACTGGTCATGATCATAAATGAATTCGAAAATTGGTGTCTTTAATTGATTTGATTGAGTTATGGCCCTTGCCCCATCTTTTCAACTAAGAGCATACTGAGTGAAATGGGGACAAGTTTTCTCTTAAACTTACTGAAGTTACATGAATGAAACTTTGCAAGCTTATCGAAGAGATGCTTGTAGAGACTGATTTCGAAAATCATCCACCACATCAACATCAACAACACCATGTTCCAAAACCAAGATTGGGTGAATATCCAGACTGTTTGGGAAGATAACCACATCTCATTCAGGATCATACAATCCTGACCATCCATCCGTACACAACATCTCCACACACCGGGCTTATGGCTGAATTACCAGACTGACCACTACTATCATATTATTGACATTGAATAATGTACTTTCATCCTACCATGTATGGACATTGTAATTGCTGTGCATAGTTTGTACTGATTTGTAAACCGAGTTCATTTTAATGCACAATTCTGGATGGTAGGTTGTTTGTTTCACACTGAATTTGTTTACGTACAGATTTCTGGGTGAACTTAATATTTCAATTTTGGAATCGACACTTAACACAATCCACACCATCCTCCACACACCGAGTTGACCTATGGCTGAATATCCAGATTGTTTGGGTAGAGGATCATGTCTCCATCAGGATCGCATCCCCCACAAAAGCCTCCACACACCAGATCAATGACGGCGCCATTCTGTGTCCAGGTGATACTGTGCACTTTGCCTGCGTATCCTTGTCCAGTCCACGTTATCTGGATATGAATGGATGTGCTTTGATTCCTTTTACATAACAAGTATGAACTTCGCCATTATCAAGACAGCGATTGGTTGGTTTGTTGTTTAACGCCTCACTCAGCAATATTCCAGCTATATGACAGTGGTCTGTAAAAAAATCGAGTCTGGACCAGACAATCCAGTGATTAATATCATGAGCATCGATCCACGCAATTGGGATACGATGACATGCATCAACCAAGTCGAGCCTGACCAGCCGATCCCGTTAGTTGCCTCTTACGGCAAGCACAGTCGCGTTTTACGGCAAGCACAGTCGCGTTTTACGGCACGCATGGGTTGCTGAATACCTATTCTACCCCGGATCTTTCATGCATATTAATGATGCAAGAAAAAAGGAATCACTTACATTTATAGAGAACTTCATCCCTGTGCCCAGTGTGTCGATGTGAAAGGTTCCTATTCGTTTGCAGCTTCCGGAAGGTGAGTTACAATCTTCTGCTGAACCAAATTTATGCGGCTTCGTCTTGTTCCCACTTGTGAAGGTGGTGTCAGTTCTCACAACAGTCATAGTCTAAAGTAAGGAAATATACCATTTCTCCAGAAACGTTTAAAATCACACCAGAAGAACTCAATATTTTATCCAAACTTAATTACTTACATTTGTAGGAGCTGAAGGGAAATAATTTCATTTTCTCAAAAATCCCTGCAATTTGAACATGGCTCACAGAAACCAATACTTCCCATAAATTATAATATAGTGAATGACTTCAGACACATACAACTGTTTGTATTCTTGTTTCATGGCTCGATTGAAATAGGGAGATAAAGTTAAAAATAATAAACAATAAAATATAACCAAACAAAACACCCTGCACTTTTCAGGCCCTTGGTAGCTGTAAGTATGAGTAATGTACGGGCATGTCAGCTTGATTTGGGAGGAACAGCGATGCAGGTGTTATGTGTTTATCACTTTACCGACAAACCCAGACACACAGCCGGAGAGGACTGTGATTCGAACCCACCTGGTACGCCTATGGGATGCACAACAATTGGGCCACCCCTTCTCCCTGATGATATTAATATTCAGCAAACGAAATAGGATTGGGAAACTCCACACCCTAGCTTTTCAAATACCTTGATGGATGCTTTAATGGAAACGCCATATTTGCTGGCATCAAACATTGGTGTTAATTAGGGTATTTTTAATTATCCCTGGCAAATTTGGAATGCCACAAAGCATTTTTGCTCTACCTATCATAGTGCAACGTAAGTTCTTCCATCACTTTACATGACATCCACTCACACACATGACAGAAACTGAAATTATAATAGGCACTTACCGATGGCTGAACTCTGATTCTATGAAACACTGTTACTCCGTCCAAGCCAACACGATCATTCACTAAATATGGCATTTCCTTCCCACAATTACCATTCGACCTTCTAGGATAGTTTCCAATGTTCCTATTTGGCAGTGTGACATACTCCAGCTGGTGCGTATCATTCATCAAGCAGTAGACCTTCACTGGCGCACCCTTAAACTGAGGAGCCAAGGGCAAGATGTTGTACTCTCCACTTTGAGCTGTTGGGTTGTTTTTCCTGATCTCAAAACATGTGGTAGGATCTGCAAAGGTGACAAATATAATACAAATGGCGTATTTTTAAGTTTGTTTGTTGTTTAACGCCGCACACAACAATATTCCAGCTATATGACGGCTATGTTTGGCACTGTCAATTGAATTAATGTAGTAATTACGCTTCCGTTTTTCACATACTTGAACTTCTAAAGTACAAAAGAACAAAATTTAAAATGACAAAGAAACACAATGTGGACACGAATTCAATTAAGATTCCTGAAATGTAAATGACAAACTTTCCTTCGAGTCTATTTATAGTGCAGCGGCATAGCCCCGAAATCTGAAAGTATTGTGCATTTTGTGATACAAGCACCAGATTTGGCACACAGTTACTTTAATATGTTGTTAACATTTTTGGATATGGAGCCACTTGAAATTCCACCTACGTGAGACGCCATTTTGAAAATCAAAATGGCGGCCATCAAAATTCTATAATTGTCAATGTTTCTGGATCTATGTCAGCTATACACTTCTTCTTGGGGTCAAGGAATTCAATGGTCTGAGATACAAGTGGCTAAAACTGCCACCATGTTGAATTTCAAGATGGCGGCACAGTAAACAATAAGTATTTAACACAATATTTTGTTATTTTAGCAAACTAAGCCACATAGAACAGTGATGTCTCAAATTCATTTTTTCGTGTGTGTGCGTGGGGATGGGGGTGGTTACAGACTATGCTCAAGCTACCTTGTATTTCAAAATACTATGTTGGTATAATATTCTCAATAACTATTCTAAAGTTAAATAGGGTCATTTCCTGGCTTCGCTGCCCCTGCTCTTGTTTTAAATGTAGATGCCCCAAATGAAGACTCTGTGTCTATATATAGATCAGACTGCACGGAAGTCCCGTGCTGAACAGCTGTGACATTAGATCTATATAGTGAGTGAGTGAGTTTGGTTTAACGCCGCTTTTAACATTATTCCAGTTATATCACGGCGTGTCAGCTTAATGTGGGAGGAATGCCCGAAGTGTTGCAGGTCTCAGACGTTTACCACTTCGGTTAAACCCACGAGCATGGGTATGGTGCTGACAAACCTAGAAACATAATCGGGGCGAACCGGGATTCGAACCAATCATAGGTTTCTGGCGTGCCCAAGGGATAACATACAGGTGGATAACATACAGGAAGATCTATGCTTTTTTTGCCACCAGGAACTTGGTATCGTCAAGCGGCAATACTGGAAATAGGGCAACATGTTTGTGAGGCTGCAGAGATGCTCGAGGACACTACATTGTTGGCGCAACTGAGTGCAGGGGATATGGTGGCAAGAGAAGCCAAGTACCACAGCAAATGCTTGACATCACTGTACAATCGAGCATGGGCAGTAGTGAAAAATGAGGCGAAGGAAGTAAGCATCAGAGAACAGATCATTTCGGCTGTCGTGGTAGCTGAACTGGTGACATATATAGACGAGACTATTGCAGAAGAGTCTGCTGCACCTATCTTCAAGCTAGCTGATTTGACCAAGTGGTATGCAAGCAGGATGGAACGGCTTGGGGTACAGCTGGACCAGCGCGTCCACAGTACATGACTGAAGGAACGCATGCTGGCACCTGACATGCAAGAGCATAAGAAAGGCAAGGACATCCTGCTAGTATTTGAAGAGGACGTAGGGGATGCACTGGCCAAGGCATGTAAATATGACCTTGACAATGATGCCGTACATCTGGCATGGTCTGCACAGATTGTGAGAAGACTTGTTCACTGTTGGTCAGTATTTCAGTGGCTCCTTTGCAGACATATGCCAAGAAAACAGTGTGTCAACACTCGTTCTGACAAAGGTATCTATGATACAAGAAGGGCCTGGTGTCAAGGATGAAACAGGCAAGCGTTCCCCAGCATCTTTGGCAATACCTCAGCTGCTGAAATACAACAGCATCAAGAATGCCAGGAAGGACGCACATGGAGTCACCTATGTCACGCACAAAATCAACCAGGAAACCCCACTGACAATATAGGTTGGTTTGATGCTTCATGCGCACACCAGAAAAAGAGAGTAGGTACATACCATGTCTGTTCTAGGAATCAGCATTTCATATGACCGAGTCCTCAGAATATCTGCTGAGTTGGGCAATAGTGTTTGTGAGCGATATCACCTGGAGCATGTTGCAGTCACCCCATCTGCTTTGCTCCCACTCTTTCATGACCAAGCTCACTCTGTGGCAACGATCCGGGATTCCAGGGATGTTGTAAAGGACGCTATCATCCACCTGAATCCAGGGCAAACACCTGTTGTGACTTTCAACCAGCCGCTGTATGCCATTGCCAAGCAAGGACAATGGAACTGGCCAGACGCACACGGGGAAAACCACTTTGTGATAATCTTAGGTGGTCTTCACATCGAAATGGCTGCCATGAAGACTGCAGGAGACGGTGCAGGCTGAGATAGCAACCTCTGGTATGGCACAGACTCCTTTCTGCGAGCAGCACATGTTTCACGCACTAGAAGCGCTCATTATGTGACAGCTGCCTCTTTCCATATTCTGCAACATGATGCGTATGACAAGTACACTGAACGGGCCGCTGCCGAGGAACAAAAGGCACTGGCGTTTGACACCTGGTGTGATGAGAGAGTGGAGAACTGTCCACAGTTTCAGTACTGGCCAATCTCTCTCCAGCTGGAGCTCTGCATCCTCATGTTTGTGCGATCACTTCGAGAAACAAACTTTACACTTCATTGACGCTTTGGCAGAGCTCTGCGCATGTTCAAAGGAGGACATTTCATTGCAAAGAAGACCAATCGCCCCTTCTCAGAAATTGCAATAGACCAGGCACATGAACAAAACAATGCGTGTATCAAGGGAGATTGTGGTGGGGCAAATGCAGGACAAAGCCACGGATTTACATCACCATGAGCAAACAAACAAAGCACAGATCAAATTTGGCCAAGATGTCCGTGCACTCAGGTCAGTCATGGAAGAGATGGGGAACCCATTTGAGGAACAAAGTACCCACCTGCTGGTACTTGACAACAAAGAAATATTGATCGAAACAGCAGGTGAGACTGTGAAAAATGTCCTCAAAATTGGCAAAGAACAGTTCAACTCCTTGGCAAAGGAGCGTTTGGCTGACACAGATCAAATCCCCTCAGTGATTTCATCAACCGCAACAAATTGCCACTGCTCAGCTCTACCAAAGCCACAGCTTCTAGCAAGAAGAAGCAGCAGCTAGCTTCAGCAAAGGATGACTCAGAACTCTTTTCAAGACTATATATTGCATGCCACACAAGGGAGGGTGATCTGGATGAGTTCTTCAAGCATGAGAACCGAGCCTACCCACCAGCACTGTCCCAAGAAGGACAGTTTCGAGTCAGCAAGTCAGACCTACTCAAGCCCATAGAAGAGCTTGCCAACAAGAAAACGGATGCACCACATGTCACCTGTGCCATACTCGATGGGGCTGCCATTGTCCAGATGCTGAAGCCAGGTGGCAGCAGAACATTCCTTGAATATGCAACAGGTGTGTTCGTTCCATATGTCGCATCACAGCTAGAGCATCGATCTCACCTTGACTTAGTGTGGGATCGCTACACAAAGTCTGGGAGCCTCAAAACTACTGCACGGGGCAACCGTGGCAAAGGCATCCGAAGGCGTGTCACTGCCGCTGCTGTGCTACCTGGAAACTGGCAGAACTTTTTTTATGTTGGTGAAAACATGGAAGAGCTGTTCAGTTTCTTGTCTGGACAACTTGTGAGATCTTTTGACACACCAGACAAGCAGTTGGTTGCCACAGACGGAGATTTGGTACTCACTGTCCCACCCCTTGAAGACATCACCAGTTTGGCCCAATGCAACAATGAGGAGGCCGACACCCAAAGATGGTGCATGCAGCAGATGCCATAAGGTGTGGACATCGGCAAATACTTATACAGACAGTGGACACAGACATTGTCATTCTTGCCATTGCACTGGTCCAAGAGCGACAGGAACGACTGGATGAACTCTGGCTTGCGTTCGGGACAGGCAAGAACTTCCGATACATAGAAGCGCATGAGGTTGCTGCAGGTCTGGGAACTGAGAAGTCAAAGGCACTTCCAGTGTTCCATGCTGTCACAGGTTGTGACACGGTATCGACATTTGCAGGCCGTGGCAAGATAACAGCAAGGGCTACATGGGATGTGTTCCAGGAGATTACAGCTGCAATCCTCCATCTGGCCTCCACACCAAGCGAGGTGCCTGCAGACGTCTTGTCAACTGTTGAAAGATTTGTCGTTTTACTCTATGACCGCACAAGCACATGCACTGATGTCAACCTCCTGAGGAAGAAGCTGTTCTCAAGGAAAGGAAGATCCCTTGAAGCAATACCTCCAACGCAGGCATCTCTTGAGCAACACATCAAGCCGGGCATTGCTGGGGACAGGCTCTTGTCGCATGCTGCACTCTGCCATCTCCATGCGACAGGGGCTGGGTCAAGACTAAAGATCAGTTTCAACCCCTCTGGACAACACTACCAGAAGTTGCAAAGTCATGCTATGAACTGATATCATGTGGATGCAAAAAGGGATGCAGTGGGAAATGCAAATGCAAGAAGTCAGCCCTCAAAATGCACCTAATGTGCGCCTGTGAGGGCGAATGTAACACCTAAACAGTATCAGTTACTGTTGAACATGTGTGAATGCTTCACATCCATGATCACTCAGTAATCTTCCCTTTTGAGTTGAGTAATGTTAGATAGTATTGTAAACATCATTTCCTTTTGTACTCCTGAGACTAGGATATGTGGTAATGTGTTTCTAGACGTTTTTGTTCAGTGCTGCCATTTTGAAATTCAATATGGCGGCAGTTATAGGCACTCGTAACTGACACCAATGGATTCTTTGACCCCCCCAAAATGTAGAATTAGCCACCAAGAAGAAGGTTGTAGTTGACATAGATCCAGACATATTGACAATTATAGATTTTTGATTGTCGCCATTTTGAACTTCAAAATGGCGTCTCACGCATACGGAATTTCAAGTGTCTCCATATCCAAAAATGTTTGCAGCTTATTAAAGTAACTCTGTGCCAAATTTGGTGCTTGTATCAGTATTATGCTTCGTCCGATTAAATCCCCTTGTTTCAGCAACAAGTATATGCCGGGGACAATACAACAACAAAATGTTATGTGGTACCTTGTTCGTTGTCGTAGATGTCAAACAAGCCACTGCCTGGGTTAATGACGCCGTCAGATATTGGCTCTGTGTGTCGTGTGATGCACATGCTGCTTGTGTCTGAAAACTGGAACTCCTGGCATGACATGCGGGAACACAGCATGGCACATGAAACTAGTCCAAAGACTGTGCCTGATGATGCTGGGAGTTGACTAAAACGGCTGGAGTTCTACTGGTTGTCTTTTTATAATGAGATTCTTTCAAACCTAATGTTACTGAAATACAAATAACCAAGAAAAGTGCTGCG